AAAGGGATTTTGAAGGTTTGAGGCTAACCTGAGATGATTATGCCAGTTGAGGAATCCATTGTGGCGGGGGAAAAGTCTTGGGGGTTGGAGTTATGGGGAGGATGGGGGAAGATTGGGTGGAGGAGGACAATGGAACTAACCACTGAGAGTGATAGTCAACTTCAAAGCAGAGGCCAGACCTGGGGAAACTGGTTCAAGGAGGGGAGAGAAAATTGAAGAAGTTCCTACTACAAAATTAAGGAAATCTGTGAAAAAGTGGCTTGAAGGAAAACCTTCATGGATAAATCCCCCCACACAGCTATTGCAAGCCGTGCTGGTGATTTTTACCCGAAAATGTTGTGAAAATTTTAGGCAAGTCATAAAGGAACAGAGGTACGGGCCACAGGACAGATATCTTGGCGAAAGAAGCCAGTTCTAAAAGCTGGCCCTAGGGGCATTAAAAAAGAAGGGAAGAACCCCCAGAAAAAGGATTTGTACCTAAAGTCTAATGGAAGGGGGATTCCCCCTAAACATAAAAAGATAAGCTTCCCTCCCCCCCCCACCCCACAATCATCACCAATCTTCAATAAAAGTAAGTGTATGAAAGTGTGATCCTTTTTTTCAGTTTGTGGGGTTAAAATTAACATTTCATGTGGTAAAAATTTTTTTTTTTTTTTGGGGGGTTTTCCCGGGATTAATTTTTTTTCCCATTATTTTTTGGGGGAAAATTCATTCCATAACGATTTTTTGCATAACAATTCCCCCTCTTGCACGGATTAAAATCGTTAACCGGGCCCACTGTACAGTGGACCCCGGCATACCGTTGGCCTTTACAAAACTTAATCCGCCCCGATACTTTTTAAAATCGCTAAGATTTTTCCTCGAAACCGCAAAAAAAAACCCGTCAACGCTGTTTGTCCGAGATGCTCTAATGGCGGCCTTAGCCAGCCTCCATGTTCCGCCGGGCATTGTTTACCACCAGTCTCGGTAAAATCCCCAACAACAAAAAGGGAAATTTCGTATTATTTCAGGTTTTTGGTGATTTTATCTGCAAAATAAATACCAGGGCCCCAAAAAAGCTTCTAGTGCCCAAACCCACAGGGAAAAAGGGGGGGGAATTACATAGAGATGAAGAAAGAGAATTGATAAGTATGAAATGGGTGTGTGTCTCCCGGGTGGCCATTGTATAATAAACCCCCGTCAAAACCCCACTATATTTTGGGGAACAAAAAGGGGAATAAGGAGCTGTTCTTTCCAAAGGTTCAAATGTGTTTTCGAAACAAAGATCGCAAGTGATGGAAAAATGTTGAGAATCTTATTGGTGTGATAAATGAAAAAAAAGGTAGCACAGGAGTAGCATCTCTCAAAATATCTAAATGAAAAGGCTAGAAGTTGCATCAGGGTTTAATTAAAAAAATGCCGCAACTAGTGATGTGAGTAATTTAAGGCCCCAAAGGTTTGGGTTTTAGAGATTTAAGAAGCATAGTGGCAAAATAGTGTGATAAGGCATGGTGAGGCTGCCAGTTCGGACCCCAAAGCCTGAAAAAAATGTGCAGGAAAATTTAAGGAGTACATAGAAAATGAGGACTGAAACCGAACAAGTGTTAATTGTGAGAAACAGGCCTGTTTTGAAAGAAAATGCCAAGCAGGACCACATTACTCAGGAGGAAGAGGCACTCCAGGACATAAGCATGAAAGACAGGGTTACTCTGTTGATGTTTCCAATGCTAGTGGTGATTTCAAAGTGAAGCCTTTTTTAGTGATTCACTCAGAAAAACCCCGAGCGTTCAGACAAAAGAATACCTCAAGGAATTTTTGTGGCTTTTGGGGCAAACGTAAGGCATGGGTCACAGGACTTTTTTCTATGATGGTTTTCCCATCATTTTCCCCAATGTGAAAGATTACCTAATGAAAAGAAATTTAAACCTTTAATGCCTCCTTGTTTTTGACAATGCCCCTGGTACCACAGACGTGGCAGAGCGATTTATGAGACAGAAGTTCATTTAAAGGGGAATTTTTGCCTCCAATACCCCTCCCCCCCTGCAGCCCATGGCCAGCAGGTTATTTCAAACTTTAAAAAACTGGACACAAAAAACTCTGTTTGAAAGGTGCTTTGTAGTGACCTCAGAAAAAAACTGACTCTAAGAGAGTTTTTTAAGATCCTTTTTAAAATCCCCAATTGTGTAAACCTTATGGAAGGTTGGGAGGGGTGACTAAGAGGACCTTAACTCTGCTTGGGAAAAACGTGGCCCCGAAAAGTGTAGACAAAAGGGGTTTAAGGATTTGAGGCTAACCCTGAGAGGAGTTGCCAGTTGAGGAATCATTGTGGCATTGGGAAGTCTTGGGGTTGGAGGTTAGTGGGGGTGATGTGGAAATTGGTGGGGGAGGACAAAGAAGAACAACCCCTTGGAGCTGATAGATCAACTTTAACAGCAGAGGCCAACCCGAGGAAATGGTTCGGGGGGAGGGGAGAGAAAATTGAAGAAGTTTCTTACACAAAGATTTAAAGGAAATCTGTCAAAGTGGCTGAAAGTGCAAACCTTAGGATAAAAACACCCTCACACAGCTATTGCAAGCCGGCTGGGGACTATTACCCTGACAATGTTGTAAACCTTTTGGAAGTCAAAAGGAACAAGGGTACAGGCCCCTAGACAGATATGTTTGCGCAGAAGTCCAGTGACTCTGAAGCTGGCCCCCAGTGGCATTAAAAAAAGGGAAAATAACCCAGAAAAGGGTTTACACCTTAAATCTTAATGGAAGGGGATTCCCCCTTTTAAACATTTAAAACCCTCCCCTCCCTCCCCTCAATCATCACCGTTTTCAAAAAGGGAAGTGTCATTAAAAAGGCATGTTTTTCAGTTTTTGGGGTATTAAAATTAAAATTTCATGGGTAAAAATTTTTTTTTTCATCTTTAGGTGTCTTGCACGGGGTTAATTTATTTTCCCTTATTTCTTTTGGGGGAAAAATTTTCCCCATAACAATTTCGCATAACAATGAGCTCTCATCACGGATTTAAAACGTTATGGGGGGTCCACTGTATATACGTTTTTCAACCTTCGAAATATGTAAAAAAAAATAATTTTTTTTTTTTTCATTTGAAAACGTGTAAAAAAAAATTTTTCTACTTTTTTTTTTTAATTTTAAAAAAATTTAAAAAAAACGTAGATCTCTTTTGGACATAGCATGTGAACGAGATCTGCTTTGGCAGTTTAAGGGTTAAAGGGGGGGTTTGGTAATGGCTGTTTGAAGTGATGTCTAAACTGTCGTATCTGAGCGCCTCTGCAAAGACAGTGATCAGGCGGGAGGGATGGGAGAAGTGTCGAATGATGGTGAAAGTGTTTCTTGGGTCACCCTGCCTCAGTGGGAGATGGCTGGCGTATTGAACTTTTTTTTTTAACACGTCAACCGTCTCCCACCGAGGTAGGGTGACCCAAAAAACAAAGAAACACTTTCACTATCATTCAACACTTTCACCATCATTCACGCACAATCACTGTCTTTGCAGAGGCACTCAGATACAACAGTTCAAATGTCACTCCAAACAGCCAATATCCCAAACCCCTCCCTGAAAGTGCAGGCACTGTACTTCCCACCTCCAGGACTCAAGTCCGGCTAACTGGTTTTCCTGAATCTCTTCACAAAATATTACCTTACTCGCACTCCAACAGCTCATCAAGTCCCAAACATCATTCATCTCCATTCACTCTTAACATGCTACAACACTACAATAAAATGTGAATTCAATATATTTTGCATAGTAAGTCAATATTTTTTTAGCTATCAAAAATTTTATGAAATTGGGTGCATAGGTTGGGATAAAATTGGTTTGGGTGCACAAACTAATAAAGCTTAGACAGCCCTGGCCTGAACCATCTCAACAACTCTTCCTCAACCCTCGGATTTGTTTATTAATCTCCATGCTTTGTATTCTCTGCATAACATTCACACCACACATGCCATCTCCGCTGCCTCCAGTCTCTTTTAACAGTGTTAGTACCACTATACTCTCATACTCCCCCCCTCCCTTTTTTTTTTTTTTGCCTCCATGGATATAATTTACTTCCACAATTTTCTTAATACTCCACCCACCTTTTTTTTTTTTTTTCCCCTTGTCTCTTCTATAGTTCGCCTCACTTTTCACAGACCCATCTGCCAAAAGATCCAGGTTTTTCTGTAAACTCATGGGAGTAGCACCTATTCTTTTTGACCATGGCTTTCTGGCAAGGAAAATCCAAGTCAGTACAGTCCATCAGAGTAAGCAATCCCCCCATCCTGAAAAATCATTATATACAGGGTAGGGGCACCATAAAACACTTGCAAAATTCTTTTCTTCTTTCAACAAACTGGCTGTATCCAACCAAGGCAGTGTGGCAAAATAACCATATTTATTTTTAAAATGAATGCTCCTCCTATTATGTTTCATGGGTGCTACTTTAGCATGCAGTCTACCAGCACTTATACACTTCAGCATTACGTTAGTTTTTTTTTTTTAAACACATCGGTCATATCCCACCGAGGCAGGGTGACCCAAGAAGAAAGAAAATACGTACTGTCTTTGCAGAGGTGCTCAGATACGACAGTTCAGAAGTCTCTCAAAAATTGCCAATATCCCAAACCTCTCCTTTAAAGTGCAGGCATTGTTCTTCCCATTTCCAGGACTCGAGTCCGGTTAACTGGTTTCCCTTCTCAAAATATTACCCTGCTCATGCTCCAAAAACCATTTGTCTCCATTCACCCCTATTTAACACGCTCACCCACAAAACCTCCTTCCCTACCCCCCAACCTTTTCGAGGACAACCCTAGGTTAGGTAGCCTCTTGAATTTGAATCCGATAACCTCAGCATAACAAATTTTACCTAACCTAACCTTAAAGTGCAAGTGCTGGTAGACTGCACACTAAAGTAGCACTGTTTCACGTCTCTGGTAGATCATAGTTTATAATTTGCAAGTCTCATAATTTCTTTAATTCATATATGAACAGATTAAGTCCTGGTAATGATGCATTAAAATAAACACTGAATTTGTGATTTATATTTTATTAAAGTGCTAAAGTTTTCTCTGCACATTTTAAATTAAATGGTTTCAATGTTACCTTCCTGTGATAACCTATTTTGTCAAGATTTTCAGAAGCTAATCTATCGCCTTCTTTACTGCGACTCCACAACTATGACCATCTTTGCCCAGTGGTATTGTAGACTTGATGGATTCCGTACCAACACAGCATACCTCCAGGCATCTACTGTGTTGTCATCATTTTGCACTTCATTATTACTTTCAACATTTTTTCCACTTATTTTCTTACATAAGTTAATAAAATGAAGAAGTGGTTTAAGGGCCACCCATCCAATACCTGCTCCTCTTCCCAAAGTCTGACAAAAATTCCCATTTATAATGTAGCCCATTATCTTGCGTGAACAGCACTGTAATGGTTCATTTATTTTCATTAACCATGCATTTTCCATCTCTTCTTGAAAAGAAGAATATTTAGCAAGAATTTCCTGTAAAAATAAAAATGTTTTTAGATTAATTTTTTAACACTAGATTGGAACAAACAATATTTGTATTTTAATTTAGCTTGCAGGCTTTTCTATCAAATATTTATTGGAGGAAAAAATATCAGACTAATAATTCTAAGGGAATTATACAGTTAATTATCAACATATATTATTTAATAAATGTATGGAAGAGGGTAAGGTACCTAGGGATTGGCAGAGAGCATGCATAGTTCCTTTGTATAATGGCAAAGGGGACAAAAGAGAGTGCAAAAATTATAGGGGGAGTAAGACAGAGAATAGGATAGCAGATGAACAAGGAGGCTTTAGGAAAGGTAGGGTGTGTGTAGACCAGGTGTTTACAGTGAAACATATAAGTGAACAGTATTTAGATAAGGCTAAAGAGGTTTTTGTGGCATTTGTGGATTTGGAAAAGGCGTATGAACAGGGTGGATGGGGGGGGGGGCAATGTGGCAGATGTATGGTATAGGAGGTAGTTACGAAAGCAGTGAAGATTTTTTAAAACGGGATAGGAGGCTCAAGTTAAGTATTAAAAAAGGGGAGATTATTTCCCAGTAAAAGTGGGCCCTTTAGCAAGGATATGTAGTCACCAGGGTTTTTTAAAAAAATTTTAAGATGGGGGTTGTAAGAGAAAAAATGTGGGTCTTGGCAAGAGCGTGGATTAAAAGTAAAGAATCACCAAAGGGGAGTTTCACATTTCCCATTGCTATACACGTTCTTTTTTCTTGGGAGTTTTCGAAAGAAGTTGCAGGGGCGGGTGGATGAATTTTAGGGTATGTAAAAGAAAAAAATTTAAAAAGGAATACAGGAAAAGTAAGGTTTAAGGATAAAAAGATTTGATGAAAATTGGAGGGAGAGAGTAGGAGGAGGTGATTTCATTCAGAAATTTGGGAGTGGATGGTCTATAAAGATGGGTGATCATAAAATTTGATGGGGGGAAAAGGGTGAACTGCACTTAAGTCTGGGGAAAAAAAGAACTTGCCCTTTGGGGAGGAAAAGAGGGGAATGTATGAGAGTATATTTTTAACCAACCTTTTAAGGGGCTGAAGCATGGGTGATGAAGTTCAGGGGAAAAGGCTGGGGGCATGGAGATGTCAGTCCGAGGGCAACGTGGGTGTGAAAAACCAAAATTTCTAGTTTGGAAGTTAGGAGGAGGTGGGGGATTGCCAAAACTGTTGTCCAGGGGGGCGAGGAAGGGTTGTTGGGGTGGTTTGGACATGTAGAGAGAAGGGAGAAAAAACAGAATGACTTCAAGAGTGACAGTCTGTAGTGGAAAAGGGGGGGTGGGGGTGGGCCTAGGAAAGGTTGGGGGGGAAAAAGGGGGTTTTTTGTGGGGCGGGGGGTTTGGGGCTTCGCGGCTCGTAGGTTTTATAGGATGAATGGAGACAAAGGGGTTTTTGAACTTACGTGCGTTTGGGGTGTGAGCAAAGTAACTTATAAGGGATTTAGGAAACCACAGGCCGGGCTTGAGTCCTGGAGATGGGAAAAACAGGCCCGCACTCTGAAGGAGGGGTGTTAATTTGCGTTTAAAAAAATGGGGTTAAAGCACCCTTCCCGGCAAAACAATAATGGATGAAAAAGGGAAATTTTTTTTTTTTTTTTGGGCCATCCTGCCTTGGGGGGAATCGGGGCCCGGTGCAATAAAAACAAAAACAAAATAAAAAAATAAAATATTTCTAAGGACTAAGTCTAAGATTCCTTGACTAGCCAATACGCAGTTGACTATTAAAATTTGAAGAAGTATTACGACTTCTGCTGAAGGCCACCCATATTTTCACCAAAATTGAGCTGCAGCCATAACTAAAAAAGCTTTAAAAAAAGGCCTGGGGTTAAAATAAATGAAAGAAGAAAGGGTAAAAGCACAGCATAAGACATTTCTGATAATTTATGACCACGAAAAGGGCATTACAAAATTTGTCTGCATGGGGTGAATCAGTATGATTTAAAGAGAAGGAAAATAACTGCTACAAACAACAAAAACTTTAAAAAAAATATCATAGACAAAGGCTGAAGATGGGCACCATCCTATGCTACAAAAAGGGAATTAACGGGGTGGGCCCCTTTATGTCCAATTCAAAAGATGATCTTCTTTCAAAAAGACTTTTAGAATCCCACAGAGTCAAATGCCCCAAAAAATTTTAAATCTGGAGAGGTTAAAGAATGCAAAAAATTCTACAAAAAGATCACCCTATCTACCACTGACGAGTTTTCAGACAGGATCATACTGATTGCCTCCAACTGTTCCGCACTCTCACAATTTACTCTATTCCACTTTCAGGTGCCTGGTACAAGACCCCGGGGAACTTTAAACGAAAAATATTGCTACAGGAAATATCTTTTAGCCCTTGCTCTAAACATATTGGATTTAGAAGCTGCATACTCATTAAATTCATATGGAAAAAATATGGTATTATTATCACACTGGCCGATTCCCACCAAGGCAGGGTGGCCCGAAAAAGGAAAACTTTCACCATCATTCACTCCATCACTATCTTGCCAGAAGGGTGCTTTACACTACAGTTTTTAAACTGCAACATTAACACCCCTCCTTCAGAGTGCAGGCACTGTACTTCCCATCTCCAGGACTCAAGTCCGGCCTGCCGGTCTCCCTGAACCCCTTCATAAATGTTACTTTGTTCACACTCCAACAGCACGTCAAGTATTAAAAACCATTTGTCTCCATTCACTCCTATCAAACACGCTCACGCATGCCTGCTGGAAGTCCAAGCCCCTCGCACACAAAACCTCCTTTACCCCCTCCCTCCAACCTTTCCTAGGCCGACCCCCTACCCCGCCTTCCTTCCACTACAGACTGATACACTCTTGAAGTCACTCTGTTTCTCTACATGTCCGAACCACCTCAACAGCCCTTCCTCAGCCCTCTGGACAACAGTTTTGGTAATCCCGCACCTCCTCCTAACTTCCAAACTATGAATTCTCTGCATTATATTCACACCACACACTGCCCTCAGACATGACATCTCCACTGCCTCCAGCCTTCTCCTCGCTGCAACATTCATCACCCATGCTTCACATCCATATAAGAGCATTGGTAAAACTATACTCTCATACATTCCCCTCTTTGCCTCCAAGGACAAAGTTCTTTGTCTCCACAGACTCCTAAGTGCACCACTCACCCTTGTCCCCTCATCAATTCTATGATTCACCTCATCTTTCATAGTCCCATCTGCTGACATGTCCACTCCCAAATATCTGAGTACATTCACCTCCTCCATACTCTCTCCCTCCAATCTGATATCCAATCTTTCATCACCTAATCTTTTTGTTATCCTCATACCCTTACTCTTTCCTGTATTCACTTTTAATTTTCTTCTTTTGCACACCCAAATTCATCCACCAATCTCTGCAACTTCTCTTCAGAATCTCCCAAGAGCACAGTGTCATCAGCAAAGAGCAACTGTGACAACTTCCACTTTATGTGTGATTCTTTATCTTTTAACTCCATGCCTCTTGCCAAGACCCTCGCATTTACTTCTCTTACAACCCCATCTATAAATATATTAAACAACCACGGTGACATCACACATCCTTGTCTAAGGCCTACTTTTACCGGGAAATAATTTCCCTCTTTCCTACATACTCTAACTTGAGAGTCACTATCCTCGTAAAAACTCTTCACTGCTTTCAGTAACCTACCTCCTACACCATACACCTGCAACATCTGCCACATTGCCCCCCTATCCACCCTGTCATACGCCTTTTCCAAATCCATAAATGCCACAAAGACCTCTTTAGCCTTATCTAAATACTGTTCACTTATATGTTTCACTGTAAACACCTGGTCCACACACCCCCTACTTTTCTTAAAGCCTCCTTGTTCATCTGCTATCCTATTCTCCGTCTTACTCTTAATTCTTTCAATAATAACTCTACCATACACTTTACCAGGTATACTCAACATACTTATCCCCCTATAATTTTTGCACTCTCTTTTGTCCCCTTTGCCTTTATACAAAGGAACTATGCATGCTCTCTGCCAATCCCTAGGTACCTTACCCTCTTCCATACATTTATTAAATAATTGCACCAACCACTCCAAAGCTATATCTCCACCTGCTTTTAACATTTCTCCCATCAATCCCGGCTGCCTTACCCCCTTTCATTTTACCTACTGCCTCACAAACTTCCCCCACACTCACAACTGGCTCTTCCTCACTCCTACAAGATGTTATTCCTCCTTGCCCTATACACGAAATCACAGCCTCCCTATCTTCATCAACATTTAACAATTCCTCAAAATATTCCCTCCATCATCCCAATACCTCTAACTCTCCATTTAATAACTCTCCTCTCCTATTTTTAACTGACAGATCCATTTGTTCTCTAGGCTTCCTTAACTTGTTAATCTCACTCCAAAACTTTTTCTTATTTCAGCAAAATTTTGTTGATAACATCTCACCCACTCTCTCATTTGCTCTCTTTTTACATTGCTTCACCACTCTCTTAACCTCTCTCTTTTTCTCCATATACTCTTCCCTCCTTGCATCACTTCTACTTTGTAAAAACTTCTCATATGCTAACTTTTTCTCCCTTACTACTCTCTTTACATCATCATTCCACCAATCGCTCCTCTTCCCTCCCGCACCCACTTTCCTGTAACCACAAACTTCTGCTGAACACTCTAATGCTACATTTTTAAACCTACCCCATACCTCTTCGACCCCATTGCCCATCTATCCTCCAATAGCTGTTTATATCTTACCCTAACTGCCTCCTCTTTTAGTTTATAAACCTTCACCTCTCTCTTCCCTGATGCTTCTATTCTCCTTGTATCCCATCTTCCTTTTACTCTCAGTGTAGCTACAACTAGAAAGTTATCTGATACATCTGTGGCCCCTCTATAAACATGTGCATCCTGAAGTCTACTCAACAGTCTTTTATCTACCAATACATAATCCAACAAACTACTTCATATTGCCTACATCATATCATGTATACTTATTTATATTCCTTTTTTTCCTTAAAATATGTATTACCTATAACTAAACCCATTTCTATACAAAGTGTCAATCAAAGGCTTCCCCATTATCATTTACACCTGGCACCCCAAACTTTACCTACCACACCCTCTCCTAAAAAAGTTCTCCTACCTTAGCATTCAGGTCCCCTACCACAATTACTCTCTCAGTTGTTCAAAGGCTCCTATATCATTTCACTTAACATCTCCCAAAATCTCTCTCTCTCCTCTACATTCCTCTCTCTTCCCAGGTGCATACACGCTATTCATGACCTACTTTTCGCAATCCAACATTACTTTAATCCACATAATTCTTGAATTTACACATTCATATTCTCTTTCTTCCTCCTTCCATAACTGATCCTTCAACATTACTGCACCCTTCCTTTGCTCTAACTCTCTCAGATACTCCAGATTTAATCCATTTATTTCCCCCCACCAAAACTCCCCTACCCCCTTTCAGTCCCCCCCCCACTTCCTTGTTTTCCCTCAGGCAGACATCCAACTTCTTTTCATTCATAACATCAGCAATCATCTGTTTTCTTGTCATCCACACTAACATCCACCACATTCAAGCATCCCCAGTTTATAAGTTTTTCTTCTCTTTTTATAAATGTCTACAGGAGAAGGGGTTAACAGCCCATCGCTCCCCGGCATTTTAGTCGCGTCATACGACATGCATGCTTACGGAGGACGATTCTTCCAACACTTCCCCATGGACAATAGAAGAAATTAAGAAGAACAAGAGCTATTTAGAAAAACGAGAAAAACCTAGATGTATGTATATATATATGCATGTGCATGTCTGTGAAGTGTGACCAAAATGTAAGTAGGAGTAGCAAGATATCCCTGTTATCTAGCGTGTTTATGAGACAGAAAAAGAAACCATCATGCAAAACAGTTACAGGTTTCTGTTTCACAGTCATCTGGCAGGACGGTAGTACTTCCCTGGGTGGTTGCTGTCTACCAACCTACTACCTATATGGTATGTAAAGCTGAATATGACCAACCTTGTTTTGTTCATGAATTTTATCAAGGGCATCAGCAGTTGCCTTTTTTATACTTTCACCACTTTGTATAGCTGCAACAATGTCTTTCTCCCTTGCCACTTTTGATCTAGCCTTACGGCGTAAATGCTGGATCCTCCCCTGAAAAAGACATTTAAGATGTATAGCACTGTTCATAAAAATTAAATACATGACTTAAACAAAAATATAAGGAATAAAAATTAACTTTTAAGAGATTAACAAATGAACAGCCTATGGAGGATTTTAGCACAGCTTGTCTTAAGAAGGCTATTTGAAAAGAACTTCACTCTTCATCGAACATTAGTTCAACTAAGAATAGTTTTCAAGACGTGTACCTTTCAGTTTCTTTTTTATCAGTTGGTCGAAGCAAACATTTGCGAGGTCTCAGTATATCAACTCACCTAGCTAATGCAGAAGCTGAGAAAGGAAAAGAACAATTGAGATTTCATTATATTTAAGTAATGGATGGGACAAATAACTTGATTCATGCTTAATGATGAGTAAATTTTTAGTTCATGTGAAAGGTAACTTTGTCAACAGAATTAAAGAAACAGTGCCTGAACTCCAAAGGATGGATGGGGAAGTTGCAGTTCTGCAAGTCATTTGAATTATGAGTGAGTGATGGTGAATGGGTTGTCTTCACTGGGTCTCCATGCCTTGGTGTGAATTGGTAGATGTACTGAAAAAATGCTGATACTGTACCTTAATTTTATTATGTTCCACCTTCAGTTTTAGTCTGTGCTCAGACTGTGTATCATTATGAAGCAACTCTGTGATGTCTTCCTTTCTATCAGTGGGTTTCATTGTATTCTCTCTAGTTGATATGTCCTCCTCTTCTGGTAGGTAGATCATGGCACATGGCTCCAGAATTCCTTTATACTGCAATATTAGCTTCACCATTACTAAACAACCATGGCTCAGTTTTTGTAGTTCTTCAATGCTGCACCTATGTGAAGGCAATTCTTTAGATTGTGTATCACAAATGTGGGACTTTCTTGGGTTCTCTTCAGTATGTGGACCCTTGCTGGCATCATCTCTAGAGCAAGAACTAATCTCACCAGTAGTTTCCAAAGACATCTGTAACTTCTTGCAAGGAATCTCATCCAAATCATTATCTGCCTTTCTCTTTAAAATGCACTTCTTAAATGCTTTTGTAGCATTTCCAGCCTGTTGAGCTAAACCATTCAACAGTCTTGTATCCCTGAGAACAAAGATATCTCGAGTTCCAGGTTCCCACACTTGTAAAAGCTTCTTCCAGGGAGCATAGAATGGATACTGAACACCTAACTTAATAAAATTATATCTACTGGCAGGTGGTCTTCTAAAGAACTGGATGCGCCTCTGCTCTCCAAGCCATGTTGTATAGCAACTCCCAGCTGGTGTGTCTGGTAGAAGATGAGGTGGCATAGGAGAAAGCATTTCCATATTCAGATTTTGTGATTCCTGTTGGCCCCCGGCAGCACCACCACAAAAAACTAGCGGCATCCACACGCTCATGCCCCAACCTGCAGCTAATACAATATCCCAACCACTACCTGGAAAACAAAAATTCTATATAGTAATTATGTGCTACTGTGTCACCACTAGAATGCTGTGTTTTGGGTTAGCTTTATCCTGATTCTGCTAAATAACTTGTATTATCATCATAATGAGAAACTTTAGTTACACTGACAGGGTTGAGTGCTAAAACAATCTGATCATTCAGTACTTTCAAAAGGTGCTACCATCATTATTTGCTGTTAATATAATCAACATAGGGTGGGAAACAGCTGACATGTTAAAAAAAAAAATCAACATTAGCTATCTTGACATTTTGTATTAATAATGCCGATATGCTGCTAATGTAACTAATTTACTGTTACATTACAGGGGTTTCAAATAGAGTTAGAGCTAAAGAAGGAGTAGCAATAATTATTTTTTTTATTTATTATCACACTGGCCGATTCCCACAAAGGCAGGGTGGCCCGAAAAAGTAAAACTTTCACCATCATTCACTCCATCACTGTCTTGCCAGAAGGGTGCTTTACACTACAGTTTATAAACTGCAACATTAACACCCCTCCTTCAGAGTGCAGGCACTGTACTTCCCATCTCCAGGACTCAAGTCCGGCCTGCCGGTTTCCCTGAACCCCTTCATAAATGTTACTTTGCTCACACTCCAACAGCACATCAAGTATTAAAAACCATTTGTCTCCATTCACTCCTATCAAAACACGCTCACCGCATGCCTGCTGGAAGTCCAAGCCCGCTCCGCACGACAAAACCTCCTTTACCCCCCTCCCTCAAACCTTTTCCTAGGCCAACCCCTACCTCCGCCTTCCTTCCACTACAGACTGATACACTCATGAAGTCACTCTGTTTCCGCGCTCAACCCATTCGCTCATAACATGTCCCAACCACCTCAACAACCCTTCCTCAGCCCTCTGGACAACAGTTTTTGGTAATCTCGCACTCCTCCTAACTTTTCCAAACTAACGAATTCTCTGCATTATATCACACCACACGTTTCCCTCACAGACATGAACATCTCCACTGCCTCCAGCCTTCTCCCTCGCTGCAAACATTCATCACCCCATGCTTCACACCCATAAAGGAGGAGCGTTGGTACAACTATACACTCTACATTCCCCTCTTGCCTCCAAGGACAAAGTTTCTTTGTCTTCCACAGACTCCTAAGTGCCCACTCACCCTTTTCCCTATTTCCACTCATCAATTCTATGATTCACCCATCTTTCATAACCCATCCGCTGATCACGTCCACTCCCCAAATATCTGAATACATTCACCTCCTCCATACTCTCACCCTCCAATCTGATATTCCAATCTTTCATCACCTAATCTTTTTGTTATCCTCATAACCTTACTCTTTCCTGTATTCACTTTTAATTTTTCTTCTTTTGCAACACCCTACCAAAATTTCAACCACCAATCTCTGCAACTTCTCTTCAGAATCTCCAAGAGCACAGTTCCATCAAGCAAAGACAACTGTCCCAACCTCCCACTTTATGTGTGATTCTTTATCTTTAACTCCACGCCTCTTGCCAAGACCCTCACATTTACTTCTCTTACAACCCCATCTATAAATATATTAACCACGGTGACATCCACACATCCTTGTCTAAGGCCTACTTTTACTGGGAAATAATTTCCCTCTTCCTACATACTCTAACTTGAGCCTCACTACCTCGTAAAAAACTCTTCACTGATCTTTCAGTAACCTACCTCCTAAAACACCATACACCTGCAACATCTGCCACATTGCCCCCCATCCACCCTGTCATACGCCTTTTCCAAATCCATAAAATCCACAAAGACCTCTTTACTTACCTAATAATGTTCACTTATATGTTTAACTGTAAAACACCTGGTCAACACACCAAAAACCCCACCCCCCTAACCTTTCCTAAAGCCTCCTTGCTTATCTGGCTATCCTATTCTCCGTTCTTACTCTTAATTCTTTCAATAATAACTCTACCATATACACTTTACCAGTAATACTCAACAGACCTTATCCCCCTATAATTTTTGCACTCCTCTTTTGTCCCCTTTGTGTTTCCTTTATACAAAGGAAATATGCATGCTCATCTGCCAATCCCTAGGTAAAACCTTACCCTCTTCCAACATTAATTAAAAAATTGCAACCAAACCACTCCAAAACTATATCCCCACCTGCCTTTAACATTTCTATCTTTACCCATCATCCCGCTGCTTACCCCTTTCATTTACTACTGCCTCCGAACTTCCCCACACTCACAACGGCTCTTCCTCACGTCCTACAAGATGTTTAATCCTCCTTGCCCTATACACGAAATCACAGCTATCCCATCTTCATCACATTTAACAATTCCAAAAAATATTCCCTTCCATCTTCCTAATGCCTTAACTCTCCATTTAATAACTCCCTCTCCTATTTTTAACTGACAATCCATTTTGGTTCTCAGGCTCCTTAAACTTGTTAATCTCACTCCAAAAACTTTTTTCCTTTATTTTTCAGCAAAATTTTGTTGAAAACATCTCACCCACTCTCTCATTTGCTCTCTTTTTTACATTGGCTGTCACCACTCTCTTAACCTCTCTCTTTTTCTCCATATACTCTTCCCTCCTTGCATCACTTCTACTTTGTAAAAACTTCTCATATCTAACTTTTTTCTCCCTTACTACCCTCTTTTACATCATCATTCACAATCGCTTCCTCTTCCCTCCTGCACCCCACTTGTCCTGTAACCACAACTTCTGCTGACACTCTAACACTACTTTTTAAATCTACGCCGCATACTCTTCGACCCCATTGCCCTAGCTCTCATTAGCCCATCTATCCTCCAATAGCTGTTTATATCTTACCCTAACTGCCTCCTCTTTTAGATTATAAACCCTTCCACCTCTCTCTTCCCTGAAATGCTTCTATCTCCTTGTATCCATCTACCTTTTATCTCGATGTAGCTATCAACTAGAAAGTGATTCCCTGATACATCTGTGGCCCCTCTAAAACATGTACAATCCTGAAGTCTACTCAACAGTCTTTTTATCTACTCAATACATAATCCAACAAACTACTGTCATTTCGCCCTACATCTAACTTGTATACTTATTTATCCCTCTTTTTCATTAAAATATGTATTACCTATAACTAAAAACCCCTTTCTATACAAAGTTCAATCAAAGGGCTCCCATTATCATTTACAACTGACCCCAAACTTACCTACCACACCCCCCTAAAAGTTTCTCTCCTACAGTTAGCATTCAGGTCCCCTACCCCACATTACTCTCTCACTTGTTTCACTTAACATTCTCCCAAAATCTCTCTCTCTCCTCTCAATTCCTCTCTTCTCCACGTGTATACACAATTATTATGACCCACTTTTCGCATCCAACCTTTACTTTAATCCAACATAATTCTTGAATTTACACCATTCATATTCTCTTTTCTCCTTCCATAACTGATACCTTCAACATTACTGCTAACCCCCTTCCTTTGCACTAACTCTTCTCTCAGATACTCCAGATTTAATCCATTTATTTCCCCCCACCGAAACGCCCTCTACCACCCTCCCCCCGCTTCAGCTTGTTTTCGCTAGGGCCAGGACATCCAACTCTTTTCATTCATAACATCAGCATCATCTGTGTTCCTTGTCATCGCAATACATCCACAACTCGCATCAAGCATCCCAGTTTTATGAAGTTTTTCTTCTTCTCTTTTTAGTAAATGTTCCTACAGGAAAGGGGTTACTAACCCATTGCTCCTGGCATTTTAGTCGCCTCAAATACGACATCATGTCTTACGAGAACGAGTTCTTTTTCCACTTCCCCATGGACATAGAAGAAATAAAGAAGAACAAGAGCTATTTAGAAAAAGGAGAAAAACCTAGATGTATGTATATATATATATGCATGTGCGTTCTGTGAAGTGTGACCAAGAGTAAGTAGGATAGCAAGAGTATCCTGTTATCTAGCGTGTTTATGAGACAGAAAAAGAACCAGCAATCCTACCAATCAAGCAAAACAGTTACTGGTTTCTGTTTCACACCATCTGGCAGGACGGTAGTACTTCCCCTGGGTGTTGGCTGCTACCAACCTACTACCTAAGTAGCAATAATGTTGAAGGATAAGTTATGGCAGGAAAAGGAGGGACTATAATGTATTAATTCACGGGATTATGTGGATAAATAAAGGTTTGGATGTGAGAAGTGGGTTATAGTAAGCATATATGTACCTGAGAAGAGAGAAGTGTAGAGGAGAGAGAGAAGAGATTTTGGGAAATGTTGATTTAATGTTCTGGTAGGGGAGTTTTGAACCAAGTGTGAGAGTAATGGTGTTGTGGATTTCAATGCTAAAGTGGGCAAAAAATGTATGGAGGAGTAGTAGGTAATTTTGGGTCCCGGGGTAAATGAAAATGGGGAGCCTTTAATTGAGCTATGTGTAGAAAGAGTTTGTATAAGTAATACATATTTAATGAAGAGGAAATAAATATGCAAGGTATGATATAGCACGAAAGAAAGTAGTTGTTAGATTATGTATTGGTGGATAAAAGGTTTTGATGGGTAGGCCCAGGTGTACACATTTATAGAGGTGCAACTGATATATCCGGATCATTATTTAGTTGTAGCATACAGTTAGAGTAAGAGGTGATGAGAAAAGAGGAAAATGGCAACAACAAGCAAGAGGGAGGTGAAAGTGTATAACTAAGGTAGGAAGGAAAGTGTTTGGTGAGATATAAGCAACTATTGCAGGAGAAGGTGGGCTGGTGCAAGATGAGTAGTGGGAGGTTGAAGAGGGTTTGTAATAGTTTTAAAAATGCAGTATTAGAATTGGGGGCAGAAGTTTTGGTTATAGGAGGGTAGGTTGCAGGAGGAGGAAAGAGGAGTGAATGGGGTGGAATGAATGACGTAAAGGGTGTAATAAAGAGAAAAAGTTAGCTTATGAGAGGTTTTTAACAAAGCAGAAGTGTTATAAGAAGAGTAAGTATATGAGAGTAAAAGAAAGGTAAAGAGAGTTGTGAGATAGTGCAAAAAGGCAGAGCAATGAATAGAGTGGTAGGACTCTGTCAAGAAAAT